ATATCGTTGTTTTTGTTTTAATTCATACGACATCAATTTTATGCATTATGCAATTGAACGAACACCATGATAAGTAATGCACATTGAAACGTGGCCCTGTTCTTGCTCTTCAAACGTTCAACCTTAGACCAAAACCCGCTCCCCAAATAACGGCGATTAATTTTACATGAATTTAGAAATAGTGGAACAAAATCCGACGATTTTACCGGAACAATACGTCAACGATGGCTTACCACGGTCACACCGCAGAGATGAGTGGTACGCCGCGGGGAGCGGTGGAATAATAATGGTTTTATACGTTACCTATCATTAGACAAAATCGTGACATAAAATCGTTTTGCTGGTGCGCAGCTTAGATTGATACCGGCCGTATTTATTCTGCATAAATCACGACTGACCATTGGATTTGCACAGTCCATCGACAACAGCCGCGCATTTATAACTGAAAATTTCGAAATTTCAGGTATAGTGACCGTGGTGAAGCGACGAGGCGTCATATCATGCTTAGGTTGCTCGTGTACGAATCTCTGCGTGGAGGATTTTCTGGTATGAAATCATTCAGTGGCGTGGCGTGAATGATCGATTATCGATATCTCGCCATTTGAAGCTATGGTAAAGAATCGATTACTAAGGTGTTCGCTGCGAACACCCTGATAATCGATTTTTTTCATAGGTTTAAATGACAGATCAATCGATAAATCGCAAAGCACGCCACGCCACTGAAATCATGATTTGTGGATGGACTATCTTATTCCGAACTATTGGCCAGTGGCGTGGCGTGCTTCACGATATATCGATTGATCTGCCATTTAAACCTAATGAAAAGGATCGATAAACAGGGTGTTCGCAGCGAACGCCTTAATAATCGATTCTTTACCATAGCTACAAATGAGGAAATATCAATAATCGATCATTCACGCCACGCCACTGCTATTGGCACGAATCGAGTTGAATGCCTTGCTCCGAAAATTGCCTAACTCCGGGGAAAATGAAAATTTCGGTTTTTTTTTGCGAAGAAGTTGCTCAGGGTCACATCTGATTATCGTTTCCATCCGTGCTCTCTTCTTCATATTAAATTGGAAAAGTTCATTTTGACAAGAAGATTACTGACTTAATTTTTCGTCACAATTGTCAAAAGTCAGTTGGATTACATTTTGCGCAATAAGGAACCACTATTTCTGGCCAATTTTAGAAACAGCATACATGCCATTGGTTTCCCTATGCAAATATGCGCTTTTATGGAAGAGCCAGAGATAATGGTTCCTTAAAATGTAATCCAATTGCTCTGAGAGTATAATTGGTCCGTTTTTTCAATTTGGAACTATAAATTCTGGCTCTTCTGGAAAAACACTTATGTGCATAAGGAAACCAATTGCACGTACGTTGTTTTTAAACCGAGCTAGAATTTATAGTTCGAAATTGCAAAATGTAGTCCAATTACGCGTATTGGTCGTTTAAACGGGGTGGAGGTTCCTTGCGCGGTATAGTGCAGGTTCACGTAAAAAAATGCATACCTACCCATACACATAGTATTCTAAAGAAAATTTCTGAATTTCAAGGTCTCGCTTCGTTATTCGGAATTAGCAAATTCGAGGATTTGATGTTGACGATACATGCAAAAATTGAATTTTGAAGTTATTTCCCCTCCTGCCTAAAGTATTGTTCTTGGTGTAGTTTTTCGGGATAAGAATTCATGATGAACAATGCTTCCATGTAATGCTCTGTATTGGCCTCATTAATTTTGTCAACAACACTACCTTTGGCAGTTTTGGCGTCAATTCTGTATCGAAACTTTGCGTTAACCCGGAAAAACGAACCAAGGCGCATGGACGACCATCATTATTTTTTTTTTAAAAATTTACTCAGTTTCGGAACTTGGAAGTATGAATCTGAATGAGGGAAATAAATCTGAGAGCGCGGAGTGACGACGGGAGCGTGGCACAATGGATCGAGTCATTGAAGAGGTCGGACAAAATTTGGAAACTTTAAACGCTCATAACTCCGTTTATACAAAACTTTCAGGTTCTAAAGGCGGTTCCATCGGGTTTCCTCGTGAAATTTTCTTCTAGAGCCGCCCCTTGAAATTTAAAATGTGACGAAATAAACATCAAAATTTGCAGTTTTAGTCAAACATTATATGTCCGACCTATCTCATTGACTCGATTTACTGTGCGTGGCAGCCTGACGCACGGGAATGTAAATAAATGTAACAGGTGTAATTAATCATTAAGACTCAACGCGAATCACATAGCGAACAAAACTGAATAAACAGGAACATTGTAGCAAGGCCCTGTTTTCTCGCTGACAATTACTGGAAAGTACCGCGATCAATTGGGTCATGTTCTGTTCGTTGGGCCTCATTTTTATCATCTGCGCTGTGTGGCCAGTAGTCGCCTTTGATGCTCCATTCGAGAGGGACTTGAACCCCACGAGAAACTCAGTCAGCTCAGTTTCCGGAAGCTTGAAACCCGCGAAAAAACCGACCGATTCAATCGATGGAGACTTGAACTTGAAAAAGAAAAAAAAGGAAAAGCCACGTAAGTGTTATTTGCTCTTACTTTTTGAATCCCTTTTATTCTCTCAAGAAGTATTAAAAGTTACCTCCCCAGTTCACATTAGGGACAGTCTATAAATTACGTCACCAATTTTTTCAATTTTCCGACCCCTCCCTCCCGCCCTCACCGTAACCAATCGTCATCCACTGCTAGACGCCCGTTTTTAATTATGTCATGCGTATCGTACCTTTCCCCTATTTGGGGGGGGAGGGGCAGAAAATCGATAAAATTCAATACATGTAGTCTGCAGCGTGAAGAATATGAACGTACCCTCTTTCGAGCAAGCATTTCCTGTCTTTTTGCCTTCTCGAAAGTTTACGTCATCTTGGCTTGACCCCTCCCCCCCCTCAATCCCCGTCACCCACGGTCATCCACCGCTAGACCCCTCCCGCCCCCTACTTAAGTGACACATTTTATGGACGGCCCCTTATTATGCTGAAAGTGATTTTTTCTGCGCATTAACCTACTGAAAGCTAGACACGGATCTAAACCATCAGAAGAAAATAAAACCCTCTGAAAGTCTCCCCAGTAGAATGTATAGATAAGGCCGTGTTTTGCGGAGAGGAACTATTGACGTTGCATTAATGGTCAGACTGTTAAAATTTTTTGTTTAAAATGAAATAAATAGAAGCAAGTGAGAGCGAATGTGGGTGTGAATTTTTACGGAGTAATTATCTCATAAAATTAAAACTTTTAGTATACCTGTGTGGCAAAAAATATAACTCGAAATTTTTGGGTTGAAGGGACCAAATCTGTGCGTTGAAAATCTGCGAACTCGTTAAAAATTAATTGCCAGCCTCCATCAGGATCGAACTCAGATCGCATTGATCACGGAAAAAAATAGGGTAGTCGACACAACCAGCGGCTGGTTAAACATGCGCCAGCTACCGTGCGCTAGCTATCGTAACTACCGCACGGTAGCTGGCGCATTTTGAACTAGCCGCTGGTTGTGTCTACTACCCTATTTTTTCCCGTGATGACATGGACCAAGAGAATAAATAAGGACTCCCAACTTCCTATTGAAACCTGTGTTAAAAACCGTTACCGCGCGCTTGCAGCGAACCTGGCAGAGGGTGCGGTGAACTAACGCCACAATGGTCCACGATCGCACCTCTATAGTATGTTATTCCATGCAATGTTCTTTGTTTATCTATGATTTATTTATTTGTTTAGATACTTTAATACACTTTACTTTCGCAAACTAATGAAATAGTATAGATACATACCTTCTGCAGAGGTCAATGCGAAAGACTTTGATTTGAAGTATCTTATCAAAACACGAGCAAAGATGATTCAGTCAACTTCTGACGCAGAATCAAAGAGACTTGCTAATAATCAAATTAAAGGTAATGCTTGAAGTCAAGTATCTTTGATTTTGTGACACTCAGTTGATTTTTATCAGTACAACACTGTTTCTCACTAAAAAGATTTCACTTAACAGAGAAGCGCCTTCGGCTAAAAGTACAATCCTGATTCCTGCTGCACACTACATACACACTTCCTTTGGCTTTCTCAACAGCAGTTGCTGCTAAGTAAAACGGTTAGAAAAAACACTTTATTACACATTATTACCAGTTTATGTACCCAAAGACTGACGAAGATTGAAATGAAAATGGGAAACTTTTCACACTAAACTCTTCAAAACTGCAGGGCGACCACGAGGATACGAGGATCTAGAAACATCTATGAGCACTACTGAGTGATAAGCCTAAATAGGTGGTGCATGGAAATATAAACAGGAGGACCCAATCGTTGGTTTAGTCCACTACACCCTCTGCCAGGGAGCGCTGATGTCAGCGGTAACCGGAGTTGGGGGTCCTTATTTATTCTCTTGGTCCATGGTGATGATACGTAGTCCAATGCGCTAGCCCATTGCAAGTCGAAATCCCTAATCATGCGCACAAGTTCGGCAGGACACTCTCTTCATGATCCGATATCTTAGAGTTGCTTATCGCACTGGAAAAAATAGAACACACATTGGATCTAGAGTCCAGACTCTTAAAACCATCAACAAGAAAAAATACCCTTGATTCAATCGGATTTTTGCTTAAATTATGAACCGAGCCTCTTAATTTGAGCGGATTTCCTTTTGATACAAGCAAATATCTGATTGAATCAAGAGTATTTGTTCTTGTCAATGTTTTCAAGAGTCTGGACTCTAGATCCAATTTATTTTTTTCCCCGTACGGTTAGGTCGATTTAACACCAATGCGTGTTGAGCAACCAAGTCCTTTAGGTTGACCTGACACAAAAAAAGTAACACAAAGTAACACAGAGTGACATGAATCACGGAAATGTTTTACTGTGTACGCATTTTGAACGGCACTCACACGAAGTCTGTTCATTTCTCGCTTCAGAACGCAAAATACTTGCTCACCCGTATTGTTTGTGAAGTGTGCCTTTCATCTGTAATTTTTCTATGATTTCAGCACCACCTAGTTGGGTTGGAACGTCAGCTGAAATTGCTTGTAAAGAGAGATGTGGCATACTTGTGTCCTTACGCGAAAGCATCCCCATCTGCATTCCTTGGATTCTCGACAAAGAAAAAAATGAATTTCAATGTGAATTGAACGGGGCTAAATTGAAACCCTTCTTAGAAAAACACAACCTCCCGGTTTATGAATTTACGGAAAAAATGGGCAGACCGGATGACAAAGGCAATTACAGCCCCGCAGGGCGGGAGTGGTTGCGGGAGAAAGGTTTTCAAGTGATCGACCCACCGTACACCGCCGCGCAAATAGAGAGGGCCGCGAGAAAAGACTTGAAGCCAATCGACAAGCGACTAAAGGAATTAAAAAAGGCCAGGGAGAAGGAAAAACGACTACAATGTACAGGGGATGCGTGCCCGTTGCCTCCTCCGGGTAAAAAATCGAGATTGCCTTGGAAATCGTCCGACGGAAGCATGTCCAGCTCATCGGGTGGGTCCAGTGGGTCCAAAGGGTGGTTCAGTAGCCGCCGCCATGGATCTTCCGGCACCATGACCAGCAGTGGTGCGTCCATGAACACGGTAGATAGCTCGAAGAAAACGGAATCCACCAGCGGGTCGTCTAGGGGATGGTTCAGCCGACGGAGACCATCCAAAGAGGAAGATTTATCCAAAACCGAACCGGGCACATCTCACGCCTCGATGACTTCAATTAAGGAGGGCGAGTCAGATTCAGATTCTTCGTCAACCACTTCTTCAGAGCCCCCTGAAAGTCCACCCCCGGAGAAACTGAATAAAACACCCTCCACGGCTTCGGAGGCAGGCACCAGTAAGGAAGGCAGCTTGAAGAAAATTGAATCCACTGGAGGTTTGTTTAATTTGAGAATCTATTATAATTGGACCGCGTTAAACAGAAAGGAGCCAAGCCACGTCAGCTATTGCCAAAATTAATCGGGAAATTTAATTTTTTACATGAAAACGGTTGTGCGGATTTTTGTGCAAATTTCAGTCAATTTTCTCCGTAATAAAAAGCAAAGTACTTAAAATTTTCAAAAGAATCTGCACAGACGTTCTTTCGTAAAAAATGAAATGTCCCTGTTAAATTTGGCAAAGCTGATGTGGCTTGGTTCCTTTCTGTTTAACGCGGTCCAATTAAATCATGGATTTCTGCCCCACGCATATGAGCGTAGCAAAGGGGGAGCCTGGTTCTTCAGGAGGCTGGTGCCTAGCAGTACCTGTATAGCGAGAGTGTGAACAGCTCGGCTCATGGATCTTTAAACACACAAAATTTCACTGCCAATCTTCAGATTTCAGTATCAGACCAAGATAGCTCGCATGTTCATAAATGAGCGCGCCTTTGTAAAAATGAGTTAATTTATGAAATAACTTAGTCACATACATGCCTTGCAAGCTACGGGTCAAAACAATTGTAATAATAAATCGTTCTCACGGAGAAAAAAACCTCGTGCGTGGGACCCGAAGTTTAGGTCATATGGATCTCTGAAGTTTTCGGATTGAGCATCTGAACACTTTAGGTAGAGCTGTCGAGGTTCGGATCACACATCTGAAACTTCAGTTCTTACATCTGAAGTACTTCAGATGTGAGAACCGAAGTTTTTCAGATGTGAGAACCGAAGTTTTTCGGATGTGAAAACCGAAGTACTTCAGATGTAAGAACTGAAGTTTCAGATGTGTGATCCAAACCTCAGCAGCTGGACCTTAAGTGTTCGAATGCTCAATCCGAAAACTTCAGAGGTCCATATGACCTAAACTTTGAGTCCCACGCACGAAGTTTTTTTTCTCCGTGCTGGATAATTCATAGGTTGGCTGACCTTTTGCCCCTAAGCATTCGTGGAAGCATCGGTGAAGGCCTGATGGATTTCGGAGTTTCACACCCGTTCATATTCTCGCTGTGCAGGTACCCTACCTACCCCTCCCCCTAGAAGTTGTGATCGTATATAGTCACTTCATGTCATGAATTCCCCGTGAGAGGTAAATCGCCCTTTGCACCCCTCCGAAAGTTGTTATCTACGCCTATGGCTCCACGTGATTTTTTTTTCTGTGGTGCATGCATCGAAGCCCACAAGTTTGAAAATACAACTCAGAAACCACGTACCTCGAATCGCAATATTTTACATTATTTTTTAAATCGGAACCATATTCAACGTAATGTCTGAAAAATGTATTTTATTTTTCCCCTTCATTACAAGAATAATCTTTGAAAATTCCAGACAATGAACTTGACTTGGCTTGCTACCCAGAGAAAGAAAGGTAGCCGTTATTTTGAAACATCTCTATCGAGATTCATGGTTTCTGAGCTAAACCACCTTAAGAAACACCAACCGGTTTGAAATCAAGAATGAATCGAGAGAACTTTATTATTATCGGACAATAGTGTGCTCATTATTGGTTCACTCAGTAGCTTCCACGGAATTTATCTAATTTCAAGCACCTGCAAATGGGCCTGTTGCAAACTTTTGCCAGAGCAAAAATAAGAGTTATTACTCATAGAAAATGTCTCAAAAATCAGGATGAGCGCATCGGCAATGTCTAAAATGGACTCCTTACTTCACAATTTGCATAAGAAAGTTGCGTTTTTTTGAGCTTCCCGTTTCAAAAACGATACCGCGGCACAGACGAGCATTTCGTCAGAGGATTCATTCCATCCGATCCCTGCTCACAAGGATAATACGCGCAATATTCGACATAGCCGACGACAATCCACCAAACCACATGTGACGGGACTCTGATTCTAACCACCTGTTAAAAATCGGCGTGTTTATGTTCACATTTTTCTCGCGTTGATAGATACCCGCCTTGATTTCGATTGACCTTGTGCTCTCCTCAACTTGTGCGCGGAAGCGTCGGCCATTTTAGGCAGGGATTGAAAGGAACGACTCCTCTAAAGAAATTTTCGCCTGTGCCGTAGTATCCTTTTTGAAGCGGGAGGCTTAAAAAACGCAAATTTCTCACGCAGATTGTGAAGTTAGGAGTGTATTTCAGAGTTTGCCGATGCGCTCATCATAATTTTTGAGACGATATCTATAAGGAACAACTCTTATTTTTACTCCAGCAAAAGTTTGCAACAGGCTCTCTCTCTATCATGGCCTCAAGTTTAAAAGATTTGAGTCTGTTAGGGTACACGGAAAAAAAATTATCACAATCCCATGTATACTCCTGACTGATTTTGGGCCAGATATAAGAGTAGTTGCACCAGCTAGAAGTACGGTTGAGTCTGCCGAAAGTAGGATTCGATCAACCATACCTCTGGCTAGTGCAACTGCTCTTAAATTCGGCGCCAAAATCAGCCAGGAGTACATGGAGAAAAATCTATAGCTTTTTAAACCTAATAGTGGTTCATATGGAACACCTAAAATAGTCGTAAATGAACTAATGATTCTCGGTCTGTGAACCACACTAAGGTATATATACCATCATACGTATATGTAGATATATGTACTATTATTATCACGATATCACGATATAATGGCTGTAATTTTCATATGTAATTATGTATGTATGTAATTTTTCTATAATTTTCATACTATTTTCATACATTATGTTGTCTTTACTACTATTAGTGTTGTTCAAAATGAACTGCTATTGGTTTATAAGCCATAGCTTTTTCTCAGCGATTTGGGATTGTGAAATTTTTTTTTCAGTATAGTGTTACCGAGTGTAGATTGAGGATGCGGTGTTCCAAGTGTATTAGTTCCAAGTGTATTTAAATCATTTGGGCGTTGATGATTTCAGGAGGAACCTTCACGCCGAAAGAGTGCACTGATTACTGCAATACTGTTGAGGGTTACATAGTAATAAACCCCGGGTACTCCCGCATCCCCATCACCAAAGGTTACCTGGCGGACAACGGGAAAGCGTGCGACTGCAAGTTAAAACTTGTCGACATCAGGGATTATTTGGTTAAGCTTGATCTCAACGACGCCGAGTTCTTCGACGCGTACGCTGCTAGTCCCTCTTTGGGGAGGAAGTGGTTGACCGATCACAAGATAACCGTCGATTTCAGGAAGACTTTGGATGAGCGATTCAAGGAGCAGAACGAAGAGGAAGCAAAAGCTGGTGGAACCAGTGAAATAACACCCGCATAGTACCGCAGAGTGGAGACTTGGGTTTTTATTTGTTTAACAATTTTTTATTTGTCCCGGTAACGTTGTCGCATTGTTATCTAGATCGAAATAATTGTTATCACAAAAGTAAAATTGTACTTACGATTGGAAAAGTAGGCGGGAGCTGGAAGCCACTGTATAATCATTATAAGACCGACGACTATTTTTCTCCGCGTATTACTTCAAAATATTTTTCTCGGTTCGATCATGTGAGATTTTCGTTTCTCTCTGTTGAATTCTATTTCTATGTACCTTTTAGCCATTTAATTTTTTCATTTTGTATTTATCGTGCCAGCGGTTACCAAACTTCTTTTATCTAAAAAACATGACGGAATTCAATACTCTTCTCGTTAAAACTTGATCATTGAGTATTTTTGCTACCTTCTATCCGACTTCTATCCGAACAACACTGACAGGTTTGAAAAATTAAAATAAAAATAAATGTAAAAAATATGGACCGCAAAAGGTATATCAGCCACAGGCGAGGAATGCTTTAAAAACTGCGGGTAAGCGTCATTTACGTGTTATGTACTAAGATTGTAAAAGTATTCCTATTTTCTAACGAGAAGCAAGGGACACGCAAATAATAATTCCCGTCTTGTAAGAAACATCAACATTTACAGAAAATGTCTCAAGAAAAAGTCAATACAACGAAGGTATTTGATTCCTTCACAGTAAGGAATTCCGTGCACAAAGGGTCAGTTGCGCTGGTCACAGAATTGTGTTTTGGTGCTTGGTTCTTGTAGATTAGCTAAAAATATTAAGATCTATCCAAACCGCAACTTTCTATACGTTAAATATTGATCGAGATATCGCCCTTTGAAAAGTCGGGTTTTTGACGTCATCCACCGCGGTAGAGACACTCTTGGTCTCTTCCACCTTGATTTTATCAGCCAAGTGAGACACACATTAGCACTGGTTGCTCTATACGTGAAACGTGGATGAAAACAAGGTGGAAGAAACTAAGGGTGTCTCTACCGCGGTGGATGACGTCAAAAACCCGACTTTTCAAAGGGTGATATCTGGATAAATATTGAACGAAGAAAGTTACGGTTTGGACGGATCTTAATATTTTTAGCTAATCTACAAGAATCAAGCATCAAAACACAATTCTTTGACCAGCGGAACTGGCCAATTCTAACAACACCTGGTGGCGCTAACCGGGTTTTGAATTTCCACTCTTCAGGTATACCCAATTTTTTAGAAATTTCACATTGTGTTGGGAAACAGATGAGGCACATTGGACTTGGAGGAGACAGGAAGGGCGGAGAGGAAGGAGGCAGGAACCTATGAAGACAGGAAGACAAGTGCCGAATGTACGCACAAGTCTCGGTAAGTACCGCCGGCACAGCGAGGGGAGCCGCTTCAAGCGCGTAATAACCACAAAAATTATTGCCCCAACAAAGCGTGTAACCATCACCTAAAGGGTTGAAGTGATCCTCGAAACAGGGCTGTTATTGCTTCTTGAGGTTTCCATATTGTTGCACTTACCTCAAATTACTCCCTCGCCCCGATCTCCCGTGGGCCTTATCCGGTGATTAGAGCCCCGTTCACAGGTTGACTCTTGCACTCCGGGATGGGAGCCCCTAAATGCTCCTGCAACTTGTCATTACGGGGAAAAAAATAAAGTCTCAATACTAACCGCTCATTATATTTAATCCGTTGTTCCGAATTGTCTGTCTGCCTTCCTCTGTCTCGGCGCGTCCTCGCCCATTAGAGTTTACGCGCCCATTCACAGAATCCGCTCCAAGACCCATGCGGCACGGACAACTTCCACCCTTAAGAATGGGGATACTGCCGTGCTGAGGGAAAACGTCGTATGAACCTTCAAACGTTGTCATATTTTCGTCGATGAAAAAGGAACTTACTTGGAAAATTCTGAATATTTCTCCTCCATTTTTTTAAGGCGATTTTGTTCACAATTTAATCTGAAACATCTGAGAATGAAGATGTTGCATGTGTAAGGAATTTGCGATTTGACTGTTGATTCTTATGTAAAAGTTCGTGAAAAACACGATGGTGCCACTGGTTTTCTCTGAAATCAACTCCCAGGCTCAAAAAAAAGCTCTCGAGTTGCGGCCAAAATGGAGGGGATATCCCACGCTATCCTGAGAACAATCGAAACAAACTCTCCATGCAAAGATGGGAAGCAAATGCATTAGCAGGGTTACCGTTTTTTCAGTTTTAAAGTCCACAAATAAAGTGGCAGCCCTGTCAATGTATTTGCTCCCTATCTTTGCATGGAGAGTTTGTCTTGATGTAGAGGGGGACTCTCAAGTTAGCGTGGGATATCCCCTCCATTTTGGCCTCAACTTGAGAGCTTTTTTTAAGCTGGGGAGTTGATTTCAAAGAAAACCAGTGGCACCATCGTGTTCCTCGCGAGCTTTTATAAAAGAATCAATTGTAAAATCGCAAATCCCTCACACATGCAACATCTCCATTGACCGACTGCACTGCGACTGCGTTTGGCGCAATGCGAGAGGTATTCGTGCAGTCTTGTAGGCGCTTATATGCGCCTCACGTCGACTGCACTGTTTGGCGCAATGCGTGAAGTATTCCTACAGTATTGCAGGCGCTAATGTGCGTTTAACGCTGGCCGCACTGTGTTTCGAGCGATTATTCGGACACACGTTAGAATAATTGCGGCATCGAATCATGTTATTGTCGGGTTAAAATTCAGCGGGATCCGCTGCGCGTTCGCTCTATTTTTTCAGCCATCGGGGGACCGGGCGCGGTCAATCAACTTTTACATAAAAATCAATAGTCAAATCGCAAATCCCTCAGACATGCAACATCTCCATTCTTTGTTCTTCACTTCTTCAAGAAGTAAAAACACAATAAAATGACACGATCACCACTCTATTTCCAGGCTAATTTCTCCTATCACAATAAATAGCTCTCTTAGGATAGCGTGGGATATCTCCTCCATTTTGACCTCATCTTGAGGGCTTTTTTTGAGCTTGGGAGTTGATTTCAGATAAAACCAGCGGCATCATCGTGTTTCTCGCGAACTTTTACCTGCGAATCAATAGTCAAATTGCAAATCCCTTACACATGTACCTAACATCTCCATTTTAAGGAAAATTAAGCTCAACTTTCCTCAAAAATAAATATTTGATCGGGAGAGATTTGGCAACAGCAGAATACTCATGCGGCGTTCTTCCTCAGCACACGGCAGAATAGGTCAGGGTGGTATCCGACGGTTTACACATGCAGGATATCCCACGGTTGAATCGCCCGACTGGAGGATCAAAGTGAGACTTTATTCCTCCATATTTATTTTCCTTCGAAAGTACTCTGAGTTGAAGTTACGACCCCTCCCCAAGATCTTTGGAGAAATGGTCGTTTTTTCTTAATTTTAGTAAGGGATGAGCAAAATCTGATGAATGATGGCTATCTGAAATAATTTTTGGCGCTGGATTCATCTACAGTTTAAAAATTATCGACATCTGAAATTGACGAGAGATTTCAGGGGGTTTTGAATCTTCCAGGGTAAAAAGACTTGGTTCCCCTCCCTGTTCAGCCTCTTGAAAATCCCCATTTACCAGAGAATGAGATATTTCGCGGGCCAATAGATGAATTCAGCGCTCGATATTTTCAAAGAAACAGTCATTTCTCATTAGTTTTGGTTCTTGATTTTTGCTAACCTTTAAAAGATTAACGAGTAATTGTAAAATATGGAAGAGCCATAAGTCAGACTCAGTGGCCCTTTTGGAAATGGAAAAAAAACGTCTCATTTAATTTTGATCCACAGAAAATGCTCCTGCAGTCTAACGGTTTAACTTGGAGCACCGCGTGCGCAAGACGCAAACTGCTGGAGAGAAAATTTCGGTCACTATGACCGACCTTTAAATATCTTAAACTTCAAACTTTACCACTCTGGGGTACTGATATGAGTTGTGCGGGAAAATTTCAACTGACACTACTTTCACGGGCTATTGAATTGATGGCTAATCAAATCCTATATTCCTCCTGATCCGTGGATACTTACATTAAAGGACCGTGAATGTAGCTGTCAATTTTTTCCAGATAAACGTACCAGAAAGAAATCAATGGATAAATAACACTGTGGATATAAGGTAAGCTTTCGATATAATCTACAAAAAATACTTATAAATTAAAGCGGGATCTTTCCTATCTCAAAGGAAAAAACTTGGAATTTTTTATTCACAGAGGGAATAAAATTTATGTTATCCCCTTCGTTTTCACAACCATGTAATAAGTCCTGTCCAAGAAAAAATAATCTGTAATGGTGGGCTTGTGTGACCTGCGGTCTGTAGTATTTCAAATCGATATCTTGTTGCATGCATAGCAGGGGAACTATCGTCATTCGATACATCGATTCGCGATAAACGGTGAGCCTCTCTAATGGTAACGTAATGACAACCTGTGTAGTTAAATCCCTCGTCTTGTTCTTCTGCTATTGCCTCTCTCCGTCCTGCTATCCTGTTTTTATTTTTTTCTTATCAACTTGGAGAGACAAGACATTACTCTCGTAATGGTCGTTCAACGGGCGATTAGTCGCTGCAGTTTAACCTCCTGATGTTGCCGAGTGGAGCACAAAATAGACTGCATTTTGCAATTTGGAACTATAAATTCTGACTCATCTGAAAAAACACTTATGTACATAGGGCAATTAATGCCACATACGTTGTTTTTAAACCAGGCCAGAATTTATAGTTCCAAATTGCAAAATGCAGTCCAGATGATCTGCATCCCGCAAAAAGGAACTGCTTTTTCTAGCTCATCTGTAAAAACACCTCACCTCCAAGGAAACCTGATGGCTCGTACGATGTTCTTAAAAGGAGCTATAGAAGATAGTTCCCTGTTGTGTATGGTCCAAATGTTTGGAATAATTGGCCGCAACATGTGTATAGACGAAGTACCTTTGAAATACCCTACAGTCAATTTCAGTAGCGTGCAACACTAATATTTGGATTACGTTCTGTAATAAGGAACCATTATTTCTGGCTCATGTTCTGGCCACATATATGCCATAAGTTCCTCTATGCAGATACGTGTTTTTATGGAAGAGCCAGAGTCAGTGGTTCCTTATTGCAAAATGTAATCCATTTATGATGACTGAAAATCAAAAATGTACCCTCAAAAATTGCTGAATCACGAGGAAAATAAATAAGTAAATAGACGGCGGCTAGACATTTTTATAAATGAACATAAGTCCTGATAGTCTTTGTCATACTCTTACATAGTATTTACTTCAGTCTTTTAGATGCTACTAGAATGTTGACTATCTCCACTCAATAGTCTCCCGAGTCCTAGAATCAGGCAGACTTTTAGTTATACTCACTATACAGGTACAAGTACAGCCCTAATTCCTAAAAGTACCTGTTGCATCTTATG